ATTCATGTGAAAAATAAATTATTAAACAATTTAACTATTTAAAACGCAAATAATTAAATCAGTTTTCGATTTTTTTTTCAGTAAAAGAAGCGAAAGAGCAATGGGCCTACATTCTGTTAATACACCGAAATATCTACGGCCAGCTACCCGACGAAGCGTTTCGGTTCGTTTTTACATATTCCAAGCTAGAATTCGTCAAAATGCCGACAGTCAAAAAGCGGTAGACCGGAATGCCGACAGCAAAAAGGTCGACATTCAAAAGTCTGAATCATGGTCGAAGAATATTCGAATTCCAGGCGTTTTCCTGTTGGCATTCTGGCTTTCGGATTTTTACTGGCGGATTTTGACTTCCTGATTTCGCCTTGGGGGTATTTTTGCTGTTGCTCGGAAATAAACGATTTTCCAGATACGACTCCCCGCCAAATTGGGACCCACATTGGGATGAAGCCGTCACCCACATCTCGCTCTTGTATGCGCAATTTTTTCAAGAAGACCTACGGTTTTTGTGCGAAAAATAAAAAATGCAGCATTGTCACCTGAAAACACATGGAAAGAACAAAGCCAGAAGGAATATTTGAGGAGAGCTAGCAGAGACCATTGAGGAGGACTAGCAGAGACCATTGAGGAGGGCTAGCAGAGACTATTGAGGAGGGCTAGCAGAGACCATTGAGGAGGGCTAGCAGAGACCATTGAGGAGGGCTAGCAGAGACTATTGAGGAGGGCTAGCAGAGACCATTGAGGAAAGCTAGCAGAGACCATTGAGGAGAGCTAGCAGAGACCGTTTAAGAAGCCCAAGTTTAGACGGAATTCAAATTTTTCATGGCCTGCCAACACGTATTTCCATTCCACATTTCACGTTGACCCCAAGCTGTTTACAAAACCCGGGGCGATCGGTCTTTTTGACGCGGGGGCCGCTTGGGGGGACGGGTGTGTGCACGTGCCCTTTTTGTGCTTTTGGTGGTTGTGCTGCGGCTCCGCGCTGGCCGCGTACCACCCCGGACGGCTGGCACCGAGCGGAAACGGCCAATGGGCAGAGGATGGGCACCGGAGGGTAGGAGGATGATCTTTGCTCCAGCGAGGGTTAGCCAAAAACGTGTGGCTATGTGCTACAAAAATCTTTAAATTTTCGTGTCGGATATACGGGTATATTTTCGCCTTGAAACGAAGAAATGGGCCACCCTCAGCTTAGGATTACGCCTAAGCCAAAGCCCAAGCCTAAGCCCAAAAGCCTAAGGCAAGCCTAAGCAAAGCCTAAGCAAGGCCTAAGCAAAGCCTAAGCAAAGCCTAAGCAAAGCCTAAGCAAGGCCTAAGCAAAGCCTAAGGCAAGCCTAAGCAAAGCCTAAGCAAGGCCTAACAAAGCCTAAGCAAAGCCTAAGCAAAGCCTAAGCAAGGCCTAAGCAAAGCCTAAGGCAAGCCTAAGCAAAGCCTAAGCAAGGCCTAAGCAAAGCCTAAGCAAAGCCTAAGCAAAGCCTAAGCAAGGCCTAAGCAAAGCCTAAGGCAAGCCTAAGCCAAGCCTAGAGCAAGGCCTAAGCAAAGCCTAAGCAAAGCCTAAGCAAAGCCTAAGCAAGACCTAAGCAAAGCCTAAGCAAACCCTAAGCAAACCCTAAGCAAAGCTACGCGGTTCGATACGCAACGCGCCGGGCTACTTTTGCATTGCGTAACTGACTACGCTCAGCAAAACACATTTCCCTGGCTTACCAGTTCCTTTAAAATCATTCTCACCACCCCCGAAACGTAGACCATCCCGGGACCCAGCCCCTTCAACCCCTAAGAATCTTTTGAAAGACCCACCCTGCCCCGGCTGGCAGCATCGGACCCGGCGCGTTCATCGTCTGCCCGGCGAATCCACGGGCAAACAGACGGACAAACACACAGACAGACACACACAACCCGGTGTGTTTGACTCTGCAGCAGTACCTCAGTAGAGGTCGAGCCCCCGTCGCTGCTTTCCCGCCTCTCGCGTCTGTGTCTCGCCATCTGCCCACTCTCTCGCCCCGATCTGTTTGCGTTTCCGCGCCCCCGTCCCCGAGGGCCCGCCGCGTGTGTTTGTATGTATGTCGGTCTGTGTGTGCGTGTGTGTGACCCCGGGCAGGCGCGTCCGTCTGCCCCCTCCGCTTCCACTGCTGTATTTCCGCGCCCCCTAACCCCCCACACCAAGTGCCCAACCCCGCCACCGCCCCGCCGCTCACCCACCCGCTCAAAAAATCCACGTCCAACCGAAACCACCCGACGGTCCTCCTCCTCATCCTCATTTTCTCATCCTATTCCAGTTTCATCAGAAATGCTTAGATGAATTTCCTCTCCAAAATATCGCTAAATTTAGGGTTTCTGGGTATTTTAAGTGTATTTATAGCTCCTTAACTGATTTTCCAACTATCTAATTCTAACTAAATTCCAATTTATGTGATTTTTAGAGCTTTAAAGTTTACTCCTCCTCCTCATTTTTCCTCATTTTTAGCAAAGAATTTCTTTTCAAGAAATCCTTAAAAAATTTGTTGGTCACCTGAATTTCAACGTCGCACAGGCCACCGATTACGACATGAAAACACCGGATGCATTAATGCGACAAGCCTGATAAAACAGACATGATACCCCGTTTTTGATAAGCGTATAGTGTTTCCTCCTTTACTTAAATTCAGCAAAACGCACTCTCCCATTTTTTATGTAATTTCTGTTGTTGTTCGCCTTCACGATTTGGCAGAGTCGTATTTTTGCGGCGATTCAGCGCTCCAGAATTCAGTTTTTACGATGTATTTTCGGGGGGTTTAGGTAAAAACTCGGCTATATACTCGTGTTTATCGATTAGGAATTTGTTAAGACACTCGATTTATGAACACTTAGAAAATTTCAACATCCTGCTCTTTCTTCTCTTCTTTCTGTCTTCTCTCCCGTTTCTGTCTCTATCTATCTGTCTCCCCCCGTCTCTCACTCACTCACTCACTCTCTCTTCTCGCTCTCTCCGTCTCTCTCTCTCTCTCTCTCTCTCTCTCTCTCTCTCTCTCTCTATCTTTCTTTCCCACTCATTTTTATTTTTTTCTAGAAATTCTAGAGCGGTTTTTGCCGAGTTCAAAATATCGAGTTTTTCTGGGAAATTGGCTTCCGGTTTTTATTATCAAGAAATTCAACAAACTTTCCACCGCAACTTTTTGATACGCATCATTTTCATGGGCCAACGCTCACTCAAAACACCTTCCCCCACCCCGGTCATTCCCAACCACCCAGCTTTTTCTTTTTACTGTTTTTATGCCCGGCAGCCGATTGCAAAAAAGCCGGCGCGCGCAAAGAAACGCTGACATCGGGTTTTTCTATCTATTTTCTTTTTTTGCGTGGGCTAGGGATGGGAGCCCGGCGGAACTGGTCGGGGCGGGGGAGCACGCGCGCCCTGCTCGTCCTCCCCGCCGCGCCGGGGCTCGTTTCCGCGCTGCGGACACACGCACAACATCACTGGCCGACAGACCGACAGCACGCAACGATTTTTGCGGCTCGGGCTCCGCGCTGCCCACCCGGCGCGGAGACCAGAGCCCGTTTGGCGATTTTTTTTTGGGAATGCCGGATGCGCATAATTGGAACCTAGCTGGGATCGGGTTCTGGTTATTAATAACCTGGTGTGTTCATGCTTTTTGAGTGGGATTCAGCCTCGCGGAATTTTTAGGATTTTTGGGTTAGAATCCAGGAGTTTTTTCACATTCTCGGCGGGACCCAATTTTTTCTCAACTTCCAGATTTGTCTAAATTATCTATCCAGATCTATCTTATTTTCGAAAATCGGCAATTTTCCGCAGAAAAATAGGTTTTTTGCATTGTCGGGACGGCTAACCTTGGTCTAAGGAAGAGCAAGATCGCTTTTTTAATGTTCCTAAACGTAAAAACTTAACTTAACGATTTCTCGGTCAAAACTTGAATTTTTAGAGTTTTTAGATAGTTTCTCCAGTTGAAATCTAGTTTCAGTGTGCTAAAGTCTAGTAAAACTACAGATTTGTGCACCCACCCCCCCTGATAATGCAGTAGAACCGAAAAATCTGGATTTTTTGTAATTTTTAGTATTCGCGTAAGTAACTATCCATTACATTACGCGGATCCAATTTTACGTTTAATTTCCCAGAACTTATAGTTATTATTGTTTATTTTTTTATTATTTATTTTTCCTAGGAAACAGTTTTTTTAATCGGAAAACCTAATTTTTTACCGTTTCTGATTTTATCTTTGTGACCTTAGAAAACTACTCTAAAAATTATCTATATAAATTTATTTCACTGGTGCCTTGCCCGGCTCAGGCTCGCTTCGATTCGCCGAGGCTGGAGAAGCGGTTTGGTGAGGGGGGTCTTTTGGGGGGAAGCGGCCGCGTCCTCACCCGGATCGAACTCTGCTCTTCGCCTCTCTTTCCTATATCTCGCTCTCCCCCCTCCCCTTCCGCCCATCCGCTGCCCACCACCGCCTCGCCACATTCCGGCCACGCTTCACTTAATCCTTCTATTTTCTCGGTTGGCTGGGGGGAAAGTTGTTCAAAATTCGGGTCGAATCGTCCTAGCCCTATCATTTTTACGCGTACGAACGGATACGAGCGACTTTCGGGGGTATTTTTGTATTTATAAATTCGAAATCTAATTTTTTTCGCTGGGCCCGTAATCATATACAAAGCTTTTTCATTTCTATTTAATAAACTCATTTTATGCAAACAATTCCGGTTACTCCCTTTCTCTCTGTCACGTTTTCTCTCCCGATCCCTCGCTCTCGCTCCCTCTTTATCTCGCTCTCTCTCGCTCTCTCTCTCTCTCTCTCTCTCTCTCTCTCTCTCTCTCTCGATCTATCGCTCTCTCTCCCCGATCTTTCGCTCTCTCTCTCTCTCTCTCTCTCTCTCTCTCTCTCTCTCTTTCTCTCTCTCTCTCTCTCTCTCTCCCGATCTCTCGCTCTCGTTCTCGCTCTCTCTCTCTCTCTCTCATTTTCCGCGGTTTAATACCAATACTTTTCCTAATTCATCCAATTCTTTAGCTCCCAGCCACTATGGAGGAAAGCGGGGCCACCGTCGAGGCCACCGAAGTCGACAATGAGACCCTGAACCAGGTAAGCACAACCACGCCACGCTACTTTTCAAACCCTGTGCCCATTAACAGATTTTAAATTCAGATTTTCCAGTTAAACGCCCACTTCCTGGCGACGGCCGCGAAGGGGATGGTGGCCGACGTGAAGACGGAGCAGGAATGCCACGACTTCAACTATCAGCTCATCCAAGAGGTCAAGAAGCGCCCCTGCCTCTACGACATGAACGACGACACCTATAATAACAACACGATGCGCGCGGCAATGTGGGCTGAAATTGGGCAGCGCTTCAGCACCTCCCGTAAGTTTGCTTCGATGTTTAGGCTAAGCTTTAGCCTAAGCCTAGGCCTAAGCTCAAGCTTAAGCTCATGCTCATAAATAGACTTTTTTTAAGGGCTAGGCGACGTCGGTAAATAATCTTCCAAATTTCAGCCGACTTCGTGAAGACGCGCTGGAAGACGATGCGTGACCGCTACAAGAAGGAGGAGAAGCGGTGGAAGGCGGGCAAGCTGACGGCCTGGACCTTTTTCCAGCACCTCCACTTCATCTCGCCCTATCTGCGTGCGCGATAGTAAGTCGATTTCGTGGCTCTGGCTTGGTTGACTTGGCTTGGTTGGCTTGGCTTGGTTGGCTTGGCTGGCTTGGCTTGGTTGGCTTGGTTGGCTTGGCTTGGTTGACTCGTCTTGGCTTAGCTGGCTTGGTTGGCTTGTCTTGGCATGGCTGGCTTGGTTGGCTTGGCTTGGTTGGTTGGCTTGGTTGGCTTGGCTTGGTTGGCTTGGCTTGGTTGGCTTGGCTTGGTTGGCTTGGTTGGCTTGGCTTGGCGCGGCTTGGCTTGGCTTGGCTAGCCTGGCTTGGTTGGCTTGGCTGGCTTGGCTTGGTTGGCTTGCTCCACGTTTTATCTGCTTTTTCAGCCCTCACGATCCGGAAGAGCGGAGTGTTGATTGTCAACAGTCGGACGAAGAGGGATCGCCGCAACCCACATTATTAGGTGAGTTTAAAATGATAAAAAAATTATACATAACAATTTAAGCCAATTATACAATATTCGTATATTAAGATAAGAGTCTATATCTTTACCTCCCTTTTCAGACATCATCGCCAGCACGACGGCGATGGCCGAAGAGGCGACGGTGAAGGCGGACGGCCCGGCGCGGAAGCGCGTCAAGTACGAGGAGAAGGAGGAACGACCCGAAACCTCGGTCCCTTCCCCCCTATCCATCAACACCGCTTCATCTCCCTCGGCAACCACCGCCGGCCAGTCCACCCCCGTGTCGATGGGCTCTTCCGGTGAGGGTTATTCTAACGGATCTTTCGCAATATCGGGGGGGGGGGGCGAGGGAAAACTATTTAAAAAAAACTCCGTAAGGACCAGCACGAACTCCGTAAGGACGTAGAAGCTCATTTTAATCTCAAATTTTGCAGCCGGCACGATGCAACCGTGCGTAAAAACGGAGCACAACTCCTCCTGCTCCTCCTCCGCCCTGGCCCCGCCCACCTGGAATCGACTGCAGGACGAGGGGGTACGGAAAATATATCATAAGCTAAGCTCTTGACCTTTTCAGGCTGAAATGTTCGGGCACATGGTGGCGATGAAGCTGGCGACGATGCCGCCAAAGTTGCGCGAGAAGACAAAGGTGGGCTTTTTTGGTACTTATACACTTGCGGGGGGTAACTATTCCGGTGTTCCCGTGGAAGCCAAAGAATGAAATATAAACTTTTTTTGAAGCATTTTATGGGTTTTTAGATCGAAAAAGCCTCAAGAAAATTTTTGAATTTTTTGAGCACTTTTCACTTAAAAAATATTTAAAGTTTAAATTTTTCAAAAAATTTTTAACATTTTAGTGCTACAAAATACGAACTCATAGTGTTTGTTTTATTCTGATTTAGTTTGAATTTTAAATGGAGCGGGCAGTTTAAATCTTTAACCCTCCTTTAAATACCCCCGCTAACAAACAAGAGCCGTTGTTTTCAACGCTGTAAAATATCTCTTGTATCAAAGTCTATACTTTTAACCCCCGATTTCAGATCCGCCTCCTCACCGTGATGTTCGAGATGGAATTCGGGACCGACGGTACGGGGGACGCCTAATAACCTCTCCGGCCGTCTTATCAGAATTTATTACCACCCCCCTATTCGTGTAAACCTCATTGATCTTCAGCCCCATTTTTACCAGGCATAGTTCTCAACTCGAAATCAGGTAGTAAACAGGCAATTGTGTTTTTTAATTTTCCCTATCCTCTGTGTATGTTTTGTCGGTATTTTTGGCACTACATTGGTAGTGTCCTCTCTTGTATTTTTGGGTGTATTTTACAGGCCTTTGGCTACACCTCCACTCTTGCCTTTTCGGAATACGGGATTGAATAAAGAGTTTGTGAAGAAAAGTTGTGTCAATTTTGAAACGGACATTGGAGAGGCCGGCTAGCAGAGACCATTGAGGAGGGCTAGCAGAGACCATTGAGGAGGGCTAGCAGAGACCATTGAGGAGGGCTAGCAGAGACCATTGAGGAGGGCTAGCAGAGACCATTGAGGAGGGCTAGCAGAGACCATTGCGGAGAGCTAGCAGAGACCATTGAGGAGGGCTAACAGAGATCGTTGAGGAGAGCTAGCAAAGACCATTGAGGAGGGCTAACAGAGATCGTTGAGGAGGGCTAGCAGAGACCATTCAGGAGGGCTAGCAGATATCGTTGAGGAGGGCTAGCAGAGACCATTGCGGAGAGCTAGCAGAGACCATTGAGGAGGGCTAGCAGAGACCATTGAGGAGAGCTAGCAGAGACCATTGAGGAGGGCTAACAGAGATCGTTGAGGAGGGCTAACAGAGACCATTGAGGAGGGCTAGCAGATATCGTTGAGGAGGGCTAACAGAGACCATTAAGGAGGGCTAGCAGAGACCATTGAAGAGAGCTAGCAGAGACCATTGAGGAGGGCTAGCAGAGACCATTGAGGAGAGCTAGCAGAGACCATTGAGGAGAGCTAGCAGAGACCTTGTTTCTTTATTTTTTATTTTTTTTTTTGGGTCGTTCTATCTCTTTTTTTCTCTTTTTTTATTAAATTTTTTCCCTCACCTATAGCCCTGACTCATTTGAATCCTGCCCCCCTTCCCGTCGTCCTTGAAGTCGTTGCCCCCCATTTCCGTCATCCCCCCTTTTTTCGAGATGTTTGTCGGGGATGGCGCTGAATTCTTATCAAAACTTGTGGCCTGCCCACACACACGCACACACATACATACACAAACAGGACCCCATTTGAGTCAGGGTTTGGGCTTATCGGTTCAGCCTCGGCTAGATAGCGTGAATACCGCCCACTTTTTTCTACTTTTAAGGCCAACGATCCCGGGGGGAAACTTCAGACTGCTTGCAGACGTCCGCCCCGCTACAGAAGATGCACTCCGTTCACGAGCCGGTGGGTTTATGGATTTTTTTGAGCGGGTGGTCCTGTCCTGATCCTGATGATCCACGTGGAGTGCCTATTTACGTCGACGACTCGCGTTTTGACTTAGCTTCTATGCGTAATTAGGTATATCCGTAGCAGACGGGATATACTTTAAACCGTTAAAAGGATTCGCTTTTTTATTAAGGTTTCGGCTTCTTTAATTTTGTGATTTTAGCATGTCCCGTTCACGCTTCCGATGAACGAGCCCCCAATCCCGGGCTCCGTCATCGAGGTCCACGGCCACCACAAGCATCACGAGTCAGTTTTTAGTATTTTTAAGTTTTATATAGCTTATATAATTAATACAATGCCGAAGGTTTAACGTTCCCTTTGATTATACCTTGGCTAAAGTCTAGTTTACCCCCGTCCAAAATTTCGACATTTTCACCTAAAATTTTCTGTTTTTCGCCATCTTTTTGACTCAAATATGGTGTATTCTGACTCTACAGATCGAGACCAACATTTTGGTATACTTTACAGCCCTGTAGCTCAAATGATAGCCGAGATACAAAACTCTTCAGGGTGTTCGTCGTCGAGCTGCTCTCCGGGCCGCACGTCGTGCTCCACCTCTCCTTCCGCTTCCACCCCCACGAGCTGGTGCTCAACTCGTCGGCCCACGGCAACTGGGCCCATGAGGTCAGTCTCAAGCTTCAACGCCAATCCTTCCGGCTTAGGAGAAGACGCACAACCCGGTGCCCAAGCACGACCATCACTTCACCCTGAAGATCAAGGTCCAGACCACGCACTATGATGTCAGTTTTCTTATTGTATCAAAAATAATCTATGAAAACACCTTAAAATATACAAAACTTGACTATTTTGTTCAGATTGAGGTTGATGGCCACCACGTCGCCACCTTCAACCACCGCTACCCGTTCGCCACCGTCCAGGCGCTCGGCGTCCACGGTGACGTTCACATCAAGGACGTCCACTTCCAAGGATTCCACTTCCAGAACCGTACGTAGTAATATGTTGTACGTAGCCTAGGGCTAAACCTTAGCCTGAGCCTATACCTAAGCCTAAGCCTAAACCAAAGCCTAACCAATCCTAAGCTAAGCCTAAGCCTAAGCCTAAGCCTAAGACTAAGCCAAGCCATGCCAAGCCTACCTTTCGAAAGAATGTCTTCTAGAATGGGGCAACCAGCACGACTTTGGCCACGGCGGCTACCAAGCCTACGGCACCCCCAGCTACGTGCCCCCAGTTTTCCAGGACAACCACCCCCACAACACTCACTACGGTAAAAAGAATATATATTTTTTTATAAAATTAATTAAATCTAGATCCCTACCGCTAAATGCCAAAATGACGCCCGCGTCGTACTGCAAAAATATCAACCAACCGCCTTCATCTCTGTTAATCAACTTTATGGATAAATCTTTATCTTTTGGGGTATAGTTGCGAATGGAATAGGGTACTTGTTAAAAACATCAAAAAAACGAATCAAGATGAAAAATGAGGTATTTGGGGTGGATTAACGAGCCTCGGCGGTGGCCACTGGAGTGTGTGTCTTCCTGCTGAAAAAAGGAAATAGGGGAAGTCTACTTTATTTAGTCTCTACTTTTATAGCTTGATTTAGCTTATTAAAGCTACCTTTAAAAAAAGCCACTACGCTAAATCAAAACAAAATGAAAAACTGCGAGATGCGCACAAAGTCACTTCGCGCAGCGGAGCAAGGTGTTGCCTTTAGAAAGGCCGTTACAAAACGCGGCGCGGCTAAGACGGTAGAATTTGCTAGGTATACTTTACATAATAATAAACATTAACATAAACTAGGTTTTAATGCATACTAAAATACCTCAGAGTGAACTTTATAGTTAAAATCATAGATATGAGGTTGAAAACACGTTAAATACGTCTCACAGCCGTCTCAGATTTCTAACTGCCTCCAGAAACATGCAATTCTTTGACCAACCGTTCCCGATACAACATCACGGCGAGCACGGCGACGAGCACAAACAAAACAACGATCAGCAGCCCGCCAATGTGGCCCACCGGCCGCGAGTACACTAAAAATTATAGAGTAAACGGAGATACCACGGGCCATCCGTGCCTTATTTGTTAGTTAATGGGGTTAGGTAACCGAAAGAGGAAAACTAACAAAGACAACCTTCCTCGCAGAAGTCACCGTCGAAGCCGTTTGGGCAACTAAAAGGTGTTTTTTCCGTACATCGCGTTGAGTTTTTACGATTTTTATTTCCGCAGCAAACACGTACGGGGCCAAATGACGAAAATAATATTTTCATGGAATTTCACCCTATTTTTTCTATAAATTCATTTAATGCTCTATAAAAAAATTTCGAAAGTATGTCTTTTTGGTTAAAAATGTATAAAACCCAGCCAAAAATTGAAATTTTAGTGCGTTTTTTTTGGATTTTCTAGGCAATGAAAAATATCAAAAATTGCTAGAAAAATTCATTACATTTTCCTACCAGTTAGGTATACCGGACGGAAGGAAAAAATTAACCTCTCCTCCGCTAAACGGAAGCATCCTTTTCAATAGCATCGCTATTATCGCTTTTTATACTGGTATTTTTAATCCCTTATTTCACCCTGCAAACCCACATGCATGTCGCATTGCCATCGGGCGCCATCGAGACGCACACGCCGCCGTTGTGACAGCTGTTTACCTTGCACAGCTCCATGTTGTCCTAACAAATGAAGGGCAAATAAATTGCCGGGGAATATGCGAGGTTATAGAGCGAAAATTTAGGCAACATACGGTAAAGAAAAGGAGGAGATTTTGTGTACAACGTCGCAAAATTATTTACACGGCTTGAAGGCAAGTTCAGGGATAGAAGCGTGCGCTTTAAGTCTGTCTTACAGTTTTATACAGCACTCATAGCTTTAAAAACGTCAAATTGTGATCCTAGGAAGGTCTGGTATATCGGGAAATCGATTAAAAAAGCTGGAAAGCAAATGCTATCCTCGGGGATCCGGCCTAAAGTTGCTTTTCGTTTTAAACAACGCTAAAATCTAGAAAAATGTAAAAATGCGAAAGCGCGGTAAACTTACAAATTGAAACGTTCAGAAAAAAACAGCGAAAATAGGATTTCAAACAAATTTCGCAATACAGACTAGATTTCGAAAAAAAGGGAACATCCGAAACTTTACAGACTTTTTCGGTGTTAATATAAGAGCCAAATGATAAAGAATAGAAGAGTTATAGGACACTTTAATAGTGCTGAGGAATTCAGGCGTTCTTGCGAAAGTTTGAAATTTCAAGCACAGACTAGACTTCGAAGCAAAAAAAAACGGTAAGCCAAGACTTTTCCCCCCACACTCGAGAAGTCAAACGCAGCTTTTCAATTTTTTTTGAATAGCACCCGGGTGACCAGCGTCGGGCGACTCGAGTACAAGTGTGAAACGGGCGCGCTGAATAGAGGCATACAGAAGGAGCCGCTTCTCACCGGGGGCTTCTGGCAGTCAGCCCCGGCGCCCCCGGGAGGACAAATATTCCATTTCGACCTCTCCGGCTGGTAGCTCTCCCGCCGCCCTTCCTTTCATCCCCATCGGGTGACACTCGAGAACCGTCACACACCGCCAGCTTTTGGCCCGCTACCAGAACCCAGCGCGAGCCTCGGCAACGGTCGAGAGAATGAAAGATCCGAAAAATGGCGGGGTATTTGCAAGATCTGCGGTGGGTCACGGGTGGAGCATGCTCTAGAAATGGGCCGAAAAACTGGGAATCTGAGGTGAGAATCGCAAATTTCGTACCTGCGTCGATAGAGGTACGCCGTCAGGGCGCGGGGGTGGGGAGGGCGGGCCTGGGGGCGCCAGGCAGAGGGGTGGGCGGAGGCGTAGGGGCACGCGGGGGGGTGTTGGAGGGATATGTACCCGGGCCTGGGCTGTGGTCGCCTTGGATATTTAGACTGTACTATCATGATCGAGCCCCTATCCGTACAGCTGAACTTGACTAGCTCAGTTGTCATGGCTTTCCCTTTTACCCCAGGACGGTCCCATTGGTGCGATTCTTTTCCGATGTTCGGTGGGGTGGTGGGGGGATGTATTCGCATGGCTTCCTTATTTCACGCCCTTACCCCTCCATATGTGCGGAGCTTGTATCGGTGGTCCGTGTGTTGGCATTGGGTGTGGTTGCCCCTCTTCCCCTCTCGTCTGGTGGTGGGATGTGTGGGGGGTGGACGTCGGGCTTGGTTTTGGGGTAGTAGATCCACGAAAATCCGCACAATCAAAGCTTGTATACAATTGATTGAGGTACGAAATGCTACAATTAACGGCGGTAATAAGCCAGATGCGCCCCGCCCAACCTTTCTAACAGGGTTATCTTTTAACGTACAGGGGTATAAACTATACCAAAATGTTCGTCGTGGCCTGGCGAGTATTTTGGTATACTTTACAGCCCGATAGGACAAAAGGTAGCCGAGATAAATTAGGCTGGTGTCGGCGAGGGCATATCGAGCATCAAATTCTAAGCTAAAAGTCTGTTGAAGCTCGCGCACTTTCCAAAAAAGCATATTTTTGTCCTTGCATTATGAAGAACACCGAACGCAAAATCTATGGAAAAAAAATCGAGGAAATCTAAACAAATTTGGGTAGGAGGTTACGGTGTACCTCCAAATCCGATTTACGACCCGCTACAACCAACGAAAGCACAGCGCGGCCGCCCCGCCGATTTCCCTCGCCTAATGCTTCGAAAAATTTCTAAAATTTTTTGTTTTATAATTTTCGAAAAAATTGCCGAATTGTCAGAATATAAAAACAGAACTCGTTTAGATGGCCATCCTGAAGAGACGTCCCGAGCTTGCGGCCCTATTCGACGGCCTGGCCAGCTTTGACCACGAGCGCCAGCTGAAATCATGCGCCACATTGTGCGAAATCGATGTGAGCATCAGCTTGTATTTCCAATTTCGATTGTTTAGCTCGAGAAGGGCGTGCTCGACTACAGCTTGAATCGTCTAATCAAGGGCTTGTCGTCGGGTCGCGGGGAAGCACGCTATGGTTAGCGCTATTCAGTTTCGGCAAATTTTTCTAGGGTTTTCGACCGGATTAATTATGCTGTTGCCACGGATATCCGCGAAAACCCCGTTGGCCGATCTGTGGAAATCGGTTGAGGAGAAGCTTTCGTTAAGGGACAAGGTATCTATAATTACGATTTTAATTGATGGGTTTTTATAGGATCAAGCATCCGCGAACGCAATTGGCCAATATCTATTTCTGTTCTCGGTGGCGCAATCCGGAGCTTATGTCAAGGTAATACTAGCTCGATGACTATGTGTAATCCGTTTTTATCTAGGACGCACCGTTTGTGCTCACGAAACTGTTGGCGCTGCTCCCGAAGCATTCCTTCCTACACGAAGGCATCTGGGCAGCGGTAGTGACAGTCCAAAACCCTTGAAATGGATTTAGATTGAAAAGGTATTTTCTGGCGGTGCCGGCAAGCAGAAGCCCTCCCAGTCTACCGAGCCATTCTACCTCGTCAGCAATTGTGTCGACTCACTTTTCAAAATCAAGGTTCAATTTTTGTGATTTTTTTTGGATTTTTGTATTTTAGGTCCGCGCCGGTCAATCAGCCTCCGTGACAGTGCCCGAAAATGCCATCGAATTGCTGACAATCTTCGCCACAGCTCTGGCGAAGATAAAGTTAGATGTTTTGCAAAGTGCAAGGAAACAGTTCAAAGATAAGGATACGGCCACGAATGAGTAGGGTTCTTCCAAACCTCTTTAAAGCTATTGTTTTTTCAGCGCTTTCTACTTGGTCTGGGTGTGCATACAGTTGTGGGCATCGTTAACACCGGACGAGGAAGAGGTTTGGTTTTGAAAAAGTTTTAATGATCTCGATTTAGAAAGATTCGTATAAGTCGGCCGGCGAGGAGTTGCTGACCATTGCCTCAAATTTTTCGCGCGACGATTCACATGAGGTAGGCAATCGGGCGATTTTTAAAGTTTTTGGCGTTTAGGTATTGCTCGACTGGATCGTGGGTCTCCTTTCGCAGGAACATCGCTTCCACCGTGCCCCGATCCAATACCTATTCGCACACCTACTGCCCAGATTTAGCGCGGCCACGCTAGAGCAATTGATTGAGGTAATTTCGCTCGAAATCGCAGAATTTTGGCATAGACGATCGGCCGAACCGACGTGGAGCTGCTGGCCGGTGAGCAGGAAGAAATGGAGGTTGACGAGGATGACGACGAATTCGCACCCATTGACCGTAAGTGAGAAGTTCATTACCTCATCCTTGTTTTTTAGCTTCTGAAATCCCAACAAAAGGCGAAGATGATGACAGCGACGACGATGATGGCGCTTCTGTCGACTCCGACCCGGATGCGGAGGTGAGAAATATTAAAAATTCTTGATTTGTAAATATTCAAAATACTTATTAATTGCCCTGATTCCTTTAGGTAGACCCAGAATTGGTGCGCAAGCTGAAGGAAGCGTTGGGCAAACATGCGGCCGTCTCCGATGACGAGGATAATGTAGGCCCTTTGTCCGCAGAACAAGAACAAATTTCTCTAGGAGAGCGTCTTGTCGGCCGGGCCCACCGACGAAGAGATGTTCAGGCTAGACGAGGGGTTGGCCGCTGCTTTTTCGATGGCAAACGGGAAGGAGGATAAGAAAAAGGTTTGCAGCTACTCAGGGATCCAAATAGGTTTTGAGGAAGCCAAGCAGTACTCGCGGATCGCCCAGGCGTTGCGAATGAAATTGCTGGACCTGCTGCTTGTCGCCATCTCTTCCGCTGACACGCCTGCAAATGTTAAATTTGTGAGTGGACGGCTTGTCCGTCTGACTTCTCCCTTCTTTTAGAGCCTAGCCCTTCCTTTGGTGGCGCTGATCAAAAAGTTGAGCAGCCGTGAGGGTGAAGACGCATCGGTCCGCAAGGCCTACGACCTGATCGGCATCTTGACGCATATTAAAAAGGTCGGTTAAACGATTTTTTGATGTTTAAAAAATTTATTTAGATTGATGTTGGCAAGAAGGAGCTCACCCAGGTGCTGAAGAAGTTCTTTGGCGAGACCTGGGACACGACGGGGGCGGTGATCAAGAAGATGGTCGAGGATATGTCGGCATGGCTGGTGAGTTTTTCTCGGGGACTGTACTATTAGCGGGGGGCACCAAATTTTGATTTTTCTTCCTATGCCCATCTTTTGACGATACATATTGTGTTTTTGGATTGTCAGAAAGCTCTAAAAATGCAAAATGTTTTCAAAGTTCGAAAATATTGATCCTTTTTATCCATTGTTATAACGTTTTTGACCAGAAATTCAAATTTTTATGGTGTTTTTCCGAGCTCTTTAGAGCTAAACACTGTTTACGGTGCTATGAAAAAGATCTAGACTTCCCGCTAGCACCGTACGGAATTACTGGGAAAAATTAGCCCCCCCCCGCAAACAGTCCAGTACCGTTTTCTCCTACAAAGAATCCATAATTTTTAGTTCATCCTTGGCGCCAAGAGTGCCGAGTCACCCGAAAAGAAGCACAAGGCCCTGTTTACGGCTCGTATGACGGAAGCCTTAAAAGGTGAGGGAAAATTTTCAACAACTCTATAACCCATCATTTAGACCAAACAAAGAAGCTGACGATTGAGACTGTCACTGGAGCTTACAATCATTACCCGGTTAGCTTTTCGCAGCGTTTCTTAATGATTTTTTCAGGTATCATTCGCATCGGAGCTTCCCACGCTTGTTGCTTACGGATTCGACGAGGATGTGGCCGAGTTTAAGAGGGTGGGCCGTAATTTTACAAAATATGCTATATTTTATTTTAGTCTGAAGCCCTGAACTGCGCCACGTCGCTGCTTCGAAAGGATCTCGCCATCGATGGAGCAGTTGCAACGGAACTTGCCGCGCAGATTTCCAAGCTTTTCCAGGTGCGATTATCGATCAGGTGATTAGGATTTTTTAGGAGATCATCAGCAACCCGAAGGCGGTCAGCGCGCGACAATTTTCGGCCGTGCTCAAATTCACGTCAAAGCTCGTGCCAATTCTTGACGGTGATCTGAAGCGGACGTTGGCAGCCGGCCTGGCGCAGCCGCTCGACGACTTCCTTGGAGCCACCGATTTTTGGGCACCTGGTGGCCCGGCGAAGAAGTACAACGCGAATTGTCAGCAGGTAATTTGCCACTTTCACTTGGATCTTATAATCGAAACTTTTCAGGTAAATGGCAAGTCGCCGATCGCCGTCCTGAAGGCAATCCAGAAGTCCCTCGCCTAGAACCACGACAATCTGTTGAATTTACGCTCATTGTTGTATTGTTATTGTTACTCCTTTACCTTGTTGTCCATCACTAGCTTGTTATCTTACGTTGTTCTCCTCTTCTTGTTGTTCAGTTTCCGATAAATAATACGGTCCGACGCGTGATTGTAATTTTTGTCGCAGTTCTGCCCGCACACTTTTATTACTGAGAGAGAGAGAGACGTATCGGGGGACCAAATGATAGGGGGAGAAAAGGGCACGGTCGGGTTTTACGGAGATAGACGGAGGCGAAAGCCAGTCGTGGCACTGTGGGTGGGCAGATTCTGTGGGGGCCCTGGCTTGCTCGGTGGTTGTTTCCTGAAAAAAGATTCCGGCTCTTTTGCATTACCGGGGGGGGGGCTTCTTTACGATCCGATTTTTTCTCATGCCAAGGTGGGATTATTTGTGGCACTGGACTGTTGGCATGGGGAGCAAATTTTTGTTCTCCGACTATGTCTACTGTATCGGCTAACAATAAATACTGTATTTGTATAATTTTTTCGTAGTTTTTGATTGCTAAAAAGTTACAAAAATTCAGTACAAAAAATTCGATGATTTTTATGTTTTCTGAATTTTTTTCGATAGAAACTGCGTAAAATGAGAGGGTTTTTTAAGTTTTGCGGTTGAAACACGGCGAACTTTTATCAAAAAGACTTAAACTCTGTTTGTTTTTGTTAGTATGCGAACCTCCGTTGCCCGCGCTGCTTCTAGGCCTGCGACGAGCCGGACGACGTGGAGCTCATCTTGCTCCCCTCATCGTCGTCGCTGTCCTTCTTCTTTTTGCTCTTCTTGTCCTTGCCGCCCTTCTTGCCCTTCTTGCTCTTCTTGCTGTTGCGGCTGCCGCCATCCTCCTCCTTGCTTTGCTTCATCTGCATGACGAGCAGCACGATGAGCAGCACGAGGTGAATGAGGCACCAGACGAAGCCGCCTGGATAAGGTTTGCGCTTTCGGAGAACTGACTCACCCAGCGCAACGTAGACCAAGGTCCATGCCTCCTTCTTGATCAAGTGGAAGACGATATAGCCGAACGTGGCCATGCACAGGGCCTAAGAAATCCGTGTTGATGGGCATACAGTCAAAACAGTAAGAAAAATGTCCTTATTTCCTTTTATATAAAATTTTTTTTTTTTTTCCTCTCCTTTTTTTTCCCCTCCCCCCCCTTTTTTAATATAATAAATATATTTTTTTATTTTTTTTAAAAATATTATTTTTTAATTTTTTTTTTTATTTTTTTTTTTTTTATATTTTATTTTTTTTTTTTTTTTTTTTTTTTTTTTTTTTTTTATTTTTTTTTTTTTTTTTTTTTTTTTTTTTTTTTTTTTTTTTTTATTTTTATTATATCCGTTTTCTTTGCTTGCCAAACTTGCCGTCCGAAAGAAGTAGATCTACGTAGAGGTTCTTTCGCATTAACGGGGGGACCAACTTTTTTTCTTAGGATCTAATTACGATCTAAATTACGAAACGTGAAAACTACAGATTTTTATTAAAAATTATCAAAAATATCGATTTATCGACACCAAAAGGACCGATTTTTTTCCCAAAATTTCCACTTCTTTCAAGATTTTTCTGGTTTTTAGATAGTTTCTCTAGTTGAAATAGAATTATAGGTTACCAAAAACACTATAAGACACTTTTTATTAACTTGCTAAGCATTTCTAGACTTACACAAAAATTTTCGGTCCCCCCCCCTCAGATAATGGGAAAGCACCAAAGTAAAGGTACCGCAATGACAATGAGCGGCAACTGCATGAACCACTTGCGCACGCAGCAAACGCCCACGAACGAGATAATGGTGGCCAGCAGGTTGACGATGAGGACTGCAAAGTGCTACTTCATAGGGATATCGCTATGCAGCTCGTTTGTGCTCTGATTGGAGGAATTCGCACCGATCAGAATGACGAGCGCGTATTTTTCGTCGTCGACGGTAGCTTCGGGGTCGGAGGTAGTTGTGGGGTCGGGGCTAGCTTCGGGTTTGGGGGTAGTAGCTTCGATCTTGTAGGTATCTGCGCAGTCACTGCAAATAAAATGTCAGCGGGCGAAACGCGCGAAACAAATTTTCGGTTCTTTCGGATTATCAGGGTGGAAACAACTCATTTCTAAGGATCCAATTTTCCGAAATACAGTGTGTGTCAAAAAGATAGGGACACCTTCTTTTTTGCGATTATCTCGACCCTTATCGATTTAGAGCAGAAGTCAAATAGTGGGTCTTGTTGAGCTTGAAACGGCGCATTTTTTCATGTACTTGAAATGTCGCTAAAATAAATGACGCCATTTTTATAAGCGAAAGAAGAAAACAGCGCAAAAAACAGAAGTGTCAAAAAGATAGGGACACACTTTACATATAATTACCATCAACTTCGCGCTTGCAAATTACATGCTAATTGGAGATATGAAGTTTTTGGCTATGCAGATTCACGATTACTCCGAAAACCCGGAAGTCAAAAATGGCGATGACTTTGGAATCCTCATTAGCATGTAATTTGCAAGCGCGAAGTTGATGGTAATTATATGTAAAGTGTGTCCCTATCTTTTTGACACTTCTGTTTTTTTGCGCTGTTTTCTTCTCTCGCTTATAAAAATGGCGTCATTTATTTTAGCGACATTTCAAGTACATGAAAAAATGCGCCGTTCCAAGCTCAACAAGACCCACTATTTGACTTCTGCTCTAAATCGATAAGGGTCGAGATAATCGCAAAAAGGAAGGTGTCCCTATCTTTTTGACACACACTGTATCGATTTTTCGCCCGAAAATTTTTTCTAACTGGTTTTTTTATTGTTTTTCCACTTAAAATATATCTAAATTGTGCATAAACACCATGAAACCGCTCCAAGAAAGTTGGACCCCCACCGATAATGCGAAAGCACCAAATATTGCAAAAATATGGCTGATGTCCAGGTGATCCCCCAGCCGCAACTAACCTAATGTTCCCGGCTACTCGTTATTCTACAGGGTTGTAAAGTATATCAAAACATTCGCCAGGCCAAGACGCACATTTTGGTATACTTTGTAGCCTTGTAGGATGAAGGGAAGCCGAAGTACAAAATTAGGGGCAGGGCGTAACAGGAACCCTCGTCCAACAAATCCTCAGGCCCACATGCTGTAGGAGAGTAGTTTCTTGGCTGCTTTGTCCACCGGCCCCCTGTCGTCATCATGGGTCTCCCAGAATTTCTCAATGGATGGCATCAACGGGTTCTTATGCGTGTGCGCGGGGTCCTTCATCAGGTTGGCTTTCTTGAATCCCGTGATGGCCTGCGACCCCTCGGCCTAAAGCAAGAGCTCATTTTGGTTCTGGTTCGTTAGCGGGGGGAGCTGTTATCGGGGGCCCTGGTCTGATCAGCTTGGAATTTGGTAACTTGTATATTTGCCCCCTGTTCGGGTAAGATTCCAGATACCCCCCCCCAGCCGGCACCCAAGTTTTGTATCTCGACCCCCTGTTCATCCACAGGTGTGTAAAGTATACCAAAATGTTCATCTTGCTGTGACGAGTATTTTGGTATAGTTTACACACTTGTAGATGACCAGGGAGCCGAGATACGGTAGGTGGAGATCGGCTGGGGGGTGCGGGGTATCTGGAGTTTAGCCCCTGTTCGTCTACAGGTGTGTAACGTTCGCCTTCTCGCGAGTCTTTTGGTATACTTTACAACCGGGTAGGATAACGGGGAGCCGAGCCACTTTACCTTTGCGTCGAGGTCTTTGTTGAATTTGTCCAGGAAATCCTTCTTGTCACCAATGTCGTAGCCGACGCATCGCGCCGCCTAAATGTCCTTAGTTGCAAAACAGCAAACGGCGTCGCTACATATTCCTGTTCCTGTTCACGCGAGACAGCCGTCGTACTGGCAAAGGTGTCCGGAGTCCAGCGGGGGGCAATCGCCAGATAGCAGTCGCATTGTTGGCGAAGCAAACTGGGCATGGTCGGCATGGGCGACATTGGCGCCATGGTCGAACTACTATGAAAAAATTGTTTCTTGACATCAAAAATTGTTAGAAATTTTTGTTTACGATAACATTTAAAAAGATTAGGTCGCCATGCTTCAATGTCACACACATATATTTATTTTTGGCTTTTTTCGACTGAAACCTATTTTCGTCTTACGCTACAGATCAAGGAAGAAAAAGAAAGAAAGAAAAGAAAAAGGCTACATTTTGATACCATTGCCAGTCCTGTAATTCCACTGGGGACTAATATACGAGCTTTGAACAGGCTAGAGTCTAGTTACAGTCTAAAGGCTAGTTTCACCCCTCCCCCCCGCCCCCAGCCAGCATCCGCCTCCAAGTCGTCCAATTAATGCGTGAAGTATCTCAAAATGTTCCCCTCGTCGAATACTCAATTTCCATACAGTTTTTTAGAAGAAAATTAACAAATAACAATTTTAGTAGCACTTTATTGTTACCGTGCAACTATAGTATTGCCGGGAACAGGGCAACGCGGCGCCCCTTTCGACGCTTACGACGGGGAAAGGGTTGGCTGTCGCCCCCAATACAAACCAATTTTTGTTTAAGCTTTATTTCTTTTTCTTTCCTGATTTTCTTTTAAAAAGTATATGGAAATGCAGTGTTTGAAGAGGGGAAAAGACCTCTCAGCCGCAAAAGGCCTCGATTACCTCGAAGACGTCGATGATTTGTCCCCGAAGAAGGACATGATCGAAGCCGTCAGCAGGATGGCGCTGACAAGGAGGTGAACCGTGTTCAGCACGGAGACTAGCAACTGAAATTTACATTTGATGGCTGGAAATACACGGCAAACCCTCCAGCCCAGCATCGTGGCGCGAATGATGCCAATTACGGAGCGGAAGCGGGCAGGCGATAAAACTTTATGCAATTTTACGGTTATGGAAATCTTGTTCCGGCGAAATGCAGATAGCTCCTCGGCCGGCCCCCGCCTACTGTATCTTGGCTCCCATTCAGGGACGTAGCGTAATACAGGCCCCGGGGGCCCGGGCCCCCCCCCCCCGAAATCGGCCGGGGCCTTATGATTTTTATTTTCTCAAAAATTTTGCTGCCTGCCGCGCTATTTTGTCACGTTTTTACGGCTATTTGTAGAGCTATGCAACCTTTTTTGGTACAAGTAGGATAAGCGGGGGAAAATTTTAGGCGGGGGGGAAACCAACTTTTTTCCGCTCAAGCCTATTTTTTTTTATATAAATAATGGAAGTGTTTCTAAATTGTTTATAGCTATTCCTAAACATAAAAACTTTACAAAACTTAATTAAAAAATTTAATTTTAGGTTAAAAATCACTTTTTTCGGCCCAAAAATGACCAAATTTTCGACTTTTTCAAGCGTTTTTCTAACTTTTTAAAAAATTTTTCGGATTCAAATAGGCTTAAATTTTGCTAAAAACAATGTGAAAACACTTTATATTTGATTACTATCCCCACCAGGGCCTACCAGGAAAAAGTTGGTTTCCCCCCCGCCTAAAATTTCCCCCCGCTTATCCTACTTGTACCCCTTTTTTTCAAAAATTTTTGCCTGCGGCGCTGTTTTTTCGGCAATGTTTTGAGTTTTTTGGATAAATTTTTTGGGGACCCCCCGAAATTTTTTTCTGGCTACGCCCCTGCTCCCATTTGATCGACAGGTGTGTAAAGTATACCAAGATGTTCGTCTTGGCCTGGCTAGTATTTTGGTATACTTTACAGCCCTATAGGGCCATGGGGCGCCGAGATCAATTCGGTGGGTGTCGGCTGGGTGTTCGTCTGGAGTTCCGTTTCAGCCTATTTATGAAAAGGAAAGCTATTCAATAGTATTTTTAGCCTGGGAAAATTGCGTTATATGGTCACTAAACGGATTTTGGATTTTTATATACCAAAATGCTCAGCAGTTCAAGCTGGTTCAGGATCAGTTGAAAAAACTATTGGGAAACACTTCTGGAGCGAGTTATAACACTTCAAAGTTGGCGAGTGTCGTATATGGTCACTAAACGGATTTTCGATTTTTATATGCCAAAATGCTCAGCGGGCCGAGCTGATTCTAGAACAGTTGAAAAAACCTTTGGGAAATACTTCTGGAGCGAGATATCTAGCTTACAAACCGTCCATTCAGCCCCTGAAGTAGTACGTAGTACACCAAAATACGCCAACTGTACATCGGAAAGAAACGGAATGGTGGAGAATTGCCGTTTCAAGGGTAAAAAAAATACATTGTCAGGCAAGGTGGGCCGTCGCTTCGGATGGGCTGCCGCTCCACTCTTTCGAAATCGAGGCGCCTGGGCGCTTCGCGCTCCTCGGGCGCCCCGATTTCGAAACCCTGTACGAGCTCGCACCCATCCGAAGCGACTAGGCCCCGGGGTGGCACGAAGCCTTATTTTGAGACTCAGATCGAGTGTGTAATGTCAAGCCAAACGCTTATCGCACACTTATCCATCTTCCCCCTAAAACGGAATTTCCGGGGCAAAAACACGGTATATAGGGGGCTGTTTGAAGCCCAACTTCGAAGTGGTATATCTCATAAGTGGTATATTATTCAACGTACTCCCATGAGTCAGGCAAGGTGGGCCGTCGCTTCGGATGGGCTGCCGCTCCACTCTTTCGAAATGGGGGCGCCCCCGGCCGCTTCGCCGGCCTTGGCGCCCCCATTTCGAAACCCTGTACGAGCTCGTACCCATCCGAAGCGACTAGGCCCCCGGTGGCACGAAGCCTTATTTTTAGGCTCAGATCGGGTGTGTAGTTTCATGCCAAACCCATTTCGAACCCAACCATTTTTCGCAACACCGAAAACTGACTCGCCGGGGCGACAACGTTATTTAGTGGACCGGGGTGACGCCAAACTTTGTAGTGGTATATCTCGCTCCAGAAGTATTTCCCAAAGGTTTTTTCAACTGTTCTAGAATCAGCTCGGCCCGCTGAGCATTTTGACATATAAAAATCGAAAATCCGTTTAGTGACCATATACGACACTCGCCAACTTTGAAGTGTTATAACTCGCTCCAGAAGTGTTTCCCAATAGTTTTTTCAACTGATCCTGAACCAGCTTGAACTGCTGAGCATTTTGGTATATAAAAATCCAAAATCCGTTTAGTGACCATATAACGCAATTTAGCCTTTCGCGCTTCTTTCGCGCAACCGCTTCGCGGCTTTTCAACCCTGGCCCCGTCCAGGACCTGTGAAAGTCCTTAATTTGCATGTTTCTTCCTGAATTCTAGCAAAAAAAGTGAAAAACGGCTCCTTTGTCCCTTTATATAGGCTCCTCCTACTTCCGGCGCATGCTAATTTCCCCTAACAAACAGGGTTTTACAAAAACCTATTTTTAATAGCGAAAACCACAATTTTTCAAAATTTTTATGTGTGTGCAGTCGATTCCGGACCATTCTAAACCTATTGTCGTTTCTTCCCTATCCAAAAAACCCTTCCCCGAGGCTGTAGGTGCGGAACATCCAAACGGAAGTGCATGCAAATATACACACACACACACAGACACTATTTTTTTATATATAGTAGGATTGGAAACATTTAATCTATGTTTCAAGTGGAAATACTATTTATAAAAATTAGAGAAATTTTTAAAACCCGAAATTCTTGGAAAACCGGCGATTTTGAGGCAAATATTTTCGCATTTTTTGCAACGTTTTGCGCTTAAATTTTTAAAATTGGTATGTACCCAAATACTGCTCCAACCAGGTTTATTGACAGCAAATGCACAACAAAGGAAGCGGGGGATAGAAAGGCCGGGAAGAAGTGGTGGGCAGACATGGTAACAGGGGGTTGTGTGAAGATTGTTTTCTTGGCTTCCGGAAGAGGTGCGCGTCGTGGAGGCCATCGGCTTCAGCAGGGACTAAACGACGTTGTCACAGAGTTGTTTAATGTACTTTATAATGGGTAAGACTGCCGATATCCCACCGCACAGCCGGACCGGCCTACGGTATCTCGACTTCCGGTCGTCATACAGGGTTGTAAAGCATACCAAAATACTCGCCAGGTCAAGACGAGCATTTTGGTATACTTTTTAGCCTTGTAGGATGAAGGGAAGCCGAGATATGGTAGATGGTATAAAACGGTACCTGGCCTCTAGACCTGCTTCGGCTTCACGCCATAGTTACGCCGGAGCACCTTCTGCTCGTGCTTGAAGCAGAGAATGTGGAGCAGGAGGGCGAGCATATCGACCACGTGGATGCCGATCGCCACTAAACAAGGAGACAAGTTGATTTCGAAGCAACGATTTCCCCACCGACAAAGAACATCGAGGCGATATCGACGCGCGCCCGGGAGTAGAGGTTGCTGCAGTAGATGTACACGGCCGTCGCAAGCGTCTGAAGACAGTGGGGGTAATTGCTACTTTCCAACTGATAGAATTCGGGTTCTACGCTTTTACAAGGCGCTCGAACTCTTACCAGCGTGCCCAGAGCCACGAGTTGATAGCTGAGCTCCCAGATGAAGACCCCTTTGAACGCGTAGATGACGCCGGCGATGGCGATCAGCGGCACTAAAAACGACCCCTCTCATGGTTGCTGCTCAAACCCCACCGATGATGAGCCAGATCGTAAAGTAGAGCTTCTCGGCGTAGCGACAGCGGCTAAATGGGGGTTTTAGGCGGGTTTTTGGGTCATTTTTAACGCATTGAAGTTAATTGTCAGGGTCCGATTTTGCGAATATTGATAGAGGTCGCTTTATTGTGTTGCAAAGCATTAATTTTATTAAAAAGTACAAAATTATCGATTTTTCGAGAAAAAACATCATAGATTTTCGACAAAAATTTCGGCATTTACAAAAATTTTGTAAATATTTTTCCAGGTGAAATATGGAGAGATTTTAGCAAAAAAATAAAACTATTATTATGTCACTGAAGCTTCCGACCCCCCCGATAATGGGAAAGAACCTAAAATCTTTTGGACATCAACAAATGGAAGGATAAAAATTAAGCCCCCCGCTAAGAGAGAAGAACCGTATCGATTCCAAGACCCACGGCATGCGCTCCAGGAAGTTGGCGATGAATTGGCGGAGGGTGCCGCTGGTACGCCGGCGCAGATACGGATGGAGATAGTTAGAAGCCGGGTCGTACGTCTCGGGCTGTTTGCTCAGCACGAACATGTCGGTGATGATGGTGTGCAGCGGGTTACGATCTGCATGTGCCTTGTCGTCGCGGACCGTCGAGTTGGCGACGAAATTCGGGCGGCCCTCGGCGCTATCAAAGTCCTAAAAAAGCATTACTTTACACCCAAAAAAAAGCAAAATTACAAAAACGGTACTTTTACGTTATCGGGGGGGGGGGCTGCAACTTTTCCTTACTTTAGGATCCAATTTTTTTTCATATATTGAGAAAAACTTGGATTATGCGGTTTTTTATGATTTCTATACGTAGATTCTACAAATTTTTATCAAAAAATACAAAAATATCGATTATTCGACCAAAGTTGCAAAATTCTCAGGGATTCCTACATTTTGCGTAAATAAAAGCAAAAAAAACCTTTTCAAAATTTTATTAAAAATCCAAAATAATATAGATTTTTTTTACCGCAATCAAAGTTTTGGGTTTTGGATTTGGATTTTTCTTCTTCGAATATATTTAAATCCTACGAAACGCTATAAAATGGTAAACTATACTTGTGAGAATTTCTGGACAAAAAATCGGCTCAAGTCTAGGAAACCCCCCCCCCCCCCCCCCCAGCCGACTTTTCAACTTTTCTACCTTCCTTATTTTTATTTTTCGCTACTTTTTTCGACTGAACTGCAATGTAGTCTTACTAATTAGCCTACGGCGCACATTTTGGTATACTTTAGAGCTCGCTAGCACAAAAGGGGGCTGAGATACAGAAGTTGTTGCCGGCTGGGGGAGGGGGGTTTTCTAGACTCTTACCCAAAAATCGCCCCTCCCCCCCGGTAATGCGAAAGAGCCCCAAAAACCAAATTTTGTAGGTTTCCTCTCACCCGGGATAGATTATTACCTAGCTAGCAACCGTAGTGTGTCACCACAGGGTAAATACAGTAACCCACCGTAAAACGGCTGAGCACGGAGCTCTGGAAGTAGTCGAGCACCTCGCTATGCTCGGCCGGCGTCTGCTGCAGGCATTTTTCGCCCTGGAATTGGAGATAGCTCCGGTCCACCTAAAAAGTACCCACATATTCGACGAGCTCCTGCTCGGGAATCGTGTAGCTCCAGCTGGGGTAGTTGGGGCCAAAGTCGAGCGGCGGCATGATGGCCAGGTAGCAGGGGCAGTCCAGTCTGGAATTTGGCATTGGTAAATAGGCCGTATCTCGCTCGGCTGTTCGTTGATCTACTAAGTTGAAAAGTATACCAGAATACTTGTCAGACCAAGACGAACATTTTGGTATACTTCACATGCCTGTAGATGCGCAGGAAGCCGAGATACAAAAGTTAAAGACCGGCGAAGGGGGTTCATGGGCAGTTTGAAAATGCTGAATTCTGCCGTATCTTCGCTCCCCGATGACCTACAGGGCTGTAAAGTATACCAAAACACTCGTCTTGGTCTGGCGAGTATTTTGGTATATTTTATAGCCCTGTAGCACAACGCCGAGGCGAGATATAGTAGGCTAGGCGACCTTAGTTTGAGCCTGACTACGCGACACACCTGTATTTGCCATCGTGGACCCAGAAGAACACCACGCACACCACCGCCAGCGCATTGCAGATGATGGTGATCACGTGCATCACCGACACCAAGAGCTGTATGCATGTGTATCCGCTAATTTGCATTCGGCGCACCTGTACGAGCCGGCTGAGCAGCATCTCACCGATTGGAGGATGGAAAAGCACGTAAATGACTTCAGGACGACCTCGAGGATTCGATGAAATTGGACGCAAAAATTAGAATTTTATGCAAATTTGATAAAAAGCAGCAAATTCAAGAATTTTATGCAAATTTTACGAAAACTTGGTGAAAACGAGCCAGAATTACTATGATGTATGCAAATTTCGCGAACACGAGCAACAGGCAATACTTTTATGCAAATTTAATGAAAACTTGCCGGAACAACGATAATTTTATGCAAATTTTTTGAAAACTATCCTGATAAACCACAATTTTATGCAAATTGCGTTGTAACCCATCGATGACGCATTTTTCGTGTCAGTCTGTAGGCTCAAGTGTCGCCGTAATTCTACCAGCAGGGTCAAATCATTTATTCTGTGGGCGAATTATTCCTTGCTTCCGAATGCACGGTTTTTAAACAGCACGAGTAGAGTCAATTATCACTTTTTCTGGAGGCTGATCGGGGGCCCGGTTAGTCCCGGCAGTCGGCCAGCGTGAAGCGCTTGTTGAACGAGTAGAGCGTCTGGAGGACGGTCAGGAGGAACTGAAACAAGGGTTTAGGACGGGAAAGCGCCGAAGAGGACAGCTAAAATACCGACAGGCAAGCTCGACAGTATCCCCCCCCCCCCGATATCGCTACAGTACACCCCCCACTAGTATCGGCTGTCGGTATTTTGGCTATCACGATTAGATAATCATAAACGGCAAAATTTCCATGCTCACCTGCACCGAGGCGAGCACAATGACAACGGTCAGCCGCGTCGGGTTGGACCAGACGAGCGCGTGCTGCACGATCAGCGCCACCGCCAGGCACACGCGCAACCACTGCAGCGCGAAGAACTGTAACGAAAAGTTAGCTATATCGCGATGTACGCTACCAAAAGCTTCCACGCGTAGGGAATCAAATACAGCGATCGGCCGTCCGTCTGTCGCTCCTCCACGTGCGTGCGCGTCACCTGGAGATGAGCAAGTGCTGCTTTGTGTATTTTTTACGTTTCCGAATACTAAAAAACAGTCTCGTGTTGCCCCAAATTCTCCGCATACCATCAAGCCGAAGAGCAGCATGATGGAGATGAACATGACGATGGCGTTGAAGGCGGACAGGGCGACAGAATGGTCGGGGGCACAGTCCAGCGCCGACGCCACCGACACCCAGCCGGCGATTAGACTCTGAATGAAGGGTCAGCCTCAATAGGCCGAAAGCCATCACCCACCGCTTCAACGAAGAAGAAGGCGAACGAGATCCAGGGCGTATCCTTGAGGTACGCGCCGCGGTCGCGCTGCTGCTGGAAGACCTCGCCGGGGACGTCGCCGGCCGCCGCCGCCTCTGGAGGCGCTTCGAGGGGCAAGCCTGTGCAAAAATTATGGCCTAGCCAAAAAAGCGCTACTCTTGCTCTTGCTCTTCTCCCCTGCCACCCATTTCCGGTGATCCTCCTTCCACTCCGTGTTCTCCCACTGCGTCTTGTCGAACTCGTCGCCGACGGCGATTTGTTGCATCTGGAACAGGGACAGGTTGAATCCTACGGAGTAAATGATACCAGGGATCGGGGCTTTGCTGCTGCGGCGGCCGCCTTGATCTTCTCGAGGTCGAAGGCGTCTCCATTCTTTTTCGGCGGGCTCAGCCCCTTGTCGAGGTCGACGGCTCTGGAACTGAACAACGGAATGCTAAATCAAAAACGGTACTGGACTGTTAGCGGGGCAGGTGCGAAAAAATTTGCCAAGGCCGTAACACTAACTTTTTCGACTTGTTCATGTTCTCGTCGGATGAGTTCTTCTTCTTCTGCGAGTCCAACGAGCCTTGCGTCTTTTCGATGGCCTTTTTCGATTTGTCGGAAGATTCCCTGAATTTTAGAGATAAAGAGAGAGAGAGAGAGAGAGAGAGAGAGAGAGAGAGAGAGAGAGCTTCAAAACCCTACTTTTTCGAGGATTCCTTCTTGGAGTTCTCCTTCTTCGAAGATTCCCTCTTCGACGACTCCTTCTTCGACGACTTTTCCGGGGTTTTGCTGGGTGCGTCGTTTGGGGTACGATTCGGGGTCTTCGACGGGGTTTTTGTCGGCGTTTTGTTCGAACGCTCCCTGGAATTTCCATTTCAAATTATCCCCGTTTCCGCCACCTTTTTGAACACTTTGAGCCCTCCTTCGAGCTGTGCGACTTGGGGCTTTTCGCTGGACTTTTCGCTTCCTTCGCGCTCGTGCCACCACCTGAATGGCTTGGCAGGTGCTTTGGCAATATCGGGGGGGGGGAGAGCTTTCCTTAAGATATAATTTTTTACTACTCTTAAGCCTAAAAATCGCAAGTTACGTTACAAAACCAAAAAAAAATCAATTTATGAGCAAAAATTTCCTACTTTTGAAAATTTTCTAGGTATTTAGGCTAGTATTTGTCTTTTAGATGTCGCTAAATTTTAATAAGATAATTAAAAAAATTACTATGATGTTACTGTTCTGGGCGTACTTATAAATCCCCCCCCCACTAATTCACAAGTACCCGTCGGCAAAAACAGCTAAAAAACCTACCCAGAAGCCGTTCACACTCCGCCAGCGTGCCCAGGGTTACCATACGAGTACGGGAGAAATCGCTTTTACACCGGCTTTCTCGGGTTTGTTTCGCATTCAATCCATTGTTTCCTTTTATTCAAAGCAAGATGATAATTCAAGTTTTGCGCTTCTCCTCCACGGCAATTCGCTTTTGCCTCTCCTTGAGCATCGTTTGGAACATCTTCTTCTCCATACACTTTTTGCACACCGGCTGCATGTTCTCCTCGAGCACCTTGTCTCTAAAAAGTGTCCTTTTCCTGAACGATCTGTACTAGTTGTTCCGCTACGTTCCTTCCGTTACGCTACGATAGAGAATACGCTTACTTTGGCTTCAAGCGTCGATGGCAGCAGTGGCATGCATAGCACTCCTTACACCAACCCTAAAGAAATTTTTCTATGTCTGGTTCTTTTGCATTATCGGGGGGACCTACTTTTTCCAAGGATTCGATTT